TTAATTCAATAAATACAAAATATTTTTATGAATGTTTTTATAATATAAAATTTTATGGTTAAAAACAATTATTTTTTTATATAAATGTTTTTTTCTTAAAAGCTGTTTCTTATGAAAGGCTAAACCAAATTAAGATAAGATAAATCATTTCCCATAATATCAATCCTACACTTAATTGTAAATCAAATAAAAAATTCATAATTCAAGACATATTACAAACAGTGCTATACATTAATTAAAAAGCAATTCAAACCAGAGATCCCATTATATTGATGCACTTTTTGTTACATTACATGAAATGATTTATTGCATTGATTTGTTTGTTGTGTTATTATTATACTTATGCATTTTCGGGAGCTTAAATGGCCAAAATCGGTCGGGAAATCGGGAGTAAAAAATCACAAAATCGGGAGATTAATCGGGAAATAAATTTTATTTTTTTTGCATTATAATTAGCATATATAGTTTAGTTGTCACAAAATTGGTTATATTTAATAATAAAATGATATTTAAGATTATCTTTAGTAAACTTATGTCTTCTATCAGTGAGAATATTCTTATATTCAGAAAAAGAGCGCTCGATGTCCACTGATTTTAACGGTGCATATCTTGTCAAACATTTTGTCTCAAAGTCTTGTGAATCACAAAAGTCTTCCAAATCTTTATTCTTTGCCAAACACATCAATAGTTTTTCTTTAGCAAAACCAGACAATTGCTGTACAGTATTATCAATAATACTTTTTTGATCATTTATTGGTATATTTGAAGACATCAGTTGTTTTGTGGATTCAATTAATATTTTGTAATTTTCAGAATCAAATAATTGATTCTTAAATTTTATATCATTTATTAATAATTTAAGTTTTTTTATTGACTGATTGTTAGTTTCCTGTTTCAAACTATTGACAAACATTTCAATTTTAACAAAATTTGTGCGATAAAACATAACAGTTTCTAACCAAGTTTTCCATCGGGTAATGACAGGAATAGGAGGTAACGGGAGAGCAGTCGTCTCTCTATAAAGTAGTTCTTTTGATTTCGAAGTTAATAAACATTTTTTCATTGAAGAAACAAATATATTTAATTCAGAATATTCTTCTTGTATTTTACGACACACTCTATCTAATGCGTGAACAACACATGTTATATGAGACATCTTCGGGAAAAAAATCTTTAAATTGGTACCAACTGTCCTCATATATGATGCGGCGTCTGTGACTAAAAGTAACACTTTATTATATTGTATACCTTGAGGCCAAAGTATTTGACAAGCATTTAAAAATGCAGTTTGAATTGTGTTATGTTTAGTGTCTTCAATGAACTCGACATCAATTATCATTGGTTTACTATACTCGCCATTTAATATACCAACCATTATATTAAACACTTTTCGATCGCAACTATCTTTTGTTTCATCTATTATAAAATATACATAATTTTCGGCAACAATTTTTCTGATATTATCAATAGCTTTTAGATATAATGGCTTTTCATATCGTTTAAGTGTTGTCTGATTTGGTACCACTTTTAAAACAAATTCTTCAATGAATCCTTTTAATGCCGGAGACATTACTTTATGAAAAGGTATGTTTGATTTAATGAGTGTTTCAGTCAATCGCATTGTAAAATAGTCTTCAGTATCTTTTTTCTGATTTAACGTTTTAATTGATTCTGATAGCAATTGTTGTCTTTTTTGATCACCTTTTGCTTTAATCTCTCGGTGTTTAAGATGTGATGCACTCGACATGTGTTCATTGATACGGCATTTGTATTTACTTTCGGAAATAATTATTTGTTTCACACAAACCATACAAAATACACATTCATTTTCAACTTTTAATTCATTATTTGATTTTAAAAATAAATTTAATTTAGATTTTAAACTACTCTTTGTTTTACCCATTGTTTACTAAAAATACAAATATTTCATATTATACTTAAATATAATATTTTACAAAATTACAGTTTTTTATATCAAATAATAATTACAATATTTTTTGTGATTTTTATGTACGCTTGCGTCACTTTCATTGCTTTTTAAGTTAATATAGTTTTGAATTTGTTGCTAATGTTGTATTGACTATATATTTAGTTTTTGTTAATCAATATTTAGCGAATTTCGGGAAAAAACACACTTAAATACTGTTTTTCGGGGTTTTTCGGGATTTTCTCAAAAAACAACAAAAATCGGGAAAATCGGGAAAAACAATAGACGTTAATTTCATTTAAAATGTTGCCATATTTCTATAAATATTAAATTCCCGACGATTTAATGAATATTAAATTTTCGGGAATTCCCGAAGAAACATAACTCTAGTTATTATATTATATCATGTGATATAATATTTAATATTTACTAAAATAGGTTGGTCTATTTAATAAGTATAAGTGAAAACACATACTTATTATTATTTAAAATTTAATAATTACATATATAATTTAACAATTGAAAAATTAACCATATTATATACCGTATTATATATATTTGGATAAAATGTAATTCATATCCAATACAATTTGCATATAATACAATTAATTGCATAATTCATGTAATTATAATACAGTAATAATGAAAAATAATAAAATGTGAGCCAAATATAAGCACAAAACATTTACTTGGATTTAGTCCAACAAATAAAAGTATGTTTTTATTATTATTTTGCATTAAAATAATAGTTTTTAAATAAAAATAATATTTGAATTCTTTTTATATAAAAGATTTCCTTTTAACAATTGTGTTAATATTTAAATGTTATCTTTTAATTGTTACATATATTGTACAAACTATATAAATATAATTATATACTTTTTAATGAAAGTAAATTTTTATTGCCTTAAAATTTCAAATATACAAAATATTATCATTTAATGATACAATGTATTAATATTTGCTAAAAACATACAGTATATACATTTAAAATCAATTTCATTAATGGCTTCATTTTAAATAATCTATTACATATTCAAATACTCAAATGATATTTAATTTATTTAGTTAATGTCTAAAATGTTATGTAAATGTCATTATCAGCATATGATATAATATAATTTCAATTTAAATACTAGTCATAACAAAATACTTCATGATTTCAGTAAACTTCACTCATAGACCACTAAATACTGTATATTGAAAATTAAAATTTATTGAATGTTGTATTGAAAGATACTGTACTTTAATTTTGACCTCATTTTTGATGATAACACCGATTGACTGTATGTGTAGAACCAGTTTCCCCACAAAATTACAATAACTTGTGAGTTAAGAGATCACACATCCAACAGATCCCAACTTTAGCTTTAAATATATATTAATATATAAATAACTAAAACATTTTCAACACAAAAGTTTGACACTTTGTGCCACATATTCTTCTCAATAGTTATAATGTTATTAATGACTTTAAATTCCTATTTCGGATACTTTTTATCTTTACAGTCGATCTCTGTTATTAAACTCCAAAAAAATATTATTAAAACATCAAAATATTTTATAAACATATTTTTTTATTTAAAACACAAATATCAAATAAATCTCGACTTTTGCAATATTTTATGAAATGCAATATAATATAAAAAATATATAATTTTTAATATGAAATACGATATATAAAACTCTATAATAGTTACAATTATAACATTCAAAACCGATATTTAAAACTTTTTTACAAAATAGTGTTGACATCAGTACTCTGTATTACTGTATGTTATCACAAAACTACATTAATTTATACTTACAAAAAACAGTACAATAAATCTATAGAAATATATAAAGTATATTTGAAATTAGATATTTTGCAGTATTTGTTGATAATTTCACTTATCAAATATCTTTTCCTACCTTTTTTCCATTAATTTGTTGTATTAAATATGATTTAAAAAATAATAATTTTAGATATTTTTAGTTATATGCATTCATAATGGAAAGTAATTATTATTTTTTAAAAACTATAATTTGTGGTCAATTACAGTACAGTATTGTATTGTAATTATATTTAGAAAATGAGTTGAGATAATAATTTATGACTTAATGTTGAATAGCTTTTATGGCATATATTATATATGAAATTAAGTGAAAATATTTTATGTCAATTATTTAGGAAAAGGCATTGAAAACTCATGTTTTTGTCAGATTGCAAATCATGTCATACATTACATACATTTAAAAAAATACATTTATATAACATATTTATTAATATCATTTTAAAACACATTTAATTAACAAATATCTTTTTTAAACAATAAATATAGTTTTTATTTTATTCAAAATAATCATTTATTTAAAATGTAATCAAAAGATGTTTTTAATTTAAAAAATAGTTATTAAAAAAATAATACAATTTTTATTATAAATATATATTTCTACAAATAATGAAAAATTTATTAAATGTTAACACAATTTAAATTTGCTTTACATATTAATTGTCAAAAAATATAAAACCATTAGCCATATATTTGCGTTAATTTTCATTATTGATATACTGTAGGCTTATTATAAAGATATGGAAATATAGTTTGAAAATACTTAACGCAATATTCAGCTAAAAAATCACAATTTTAATACTAGTCAGTCATATATCTGTTTATTATAATACAAAATAAGTTACATTTGAGAGATAATAACAAAACTAGCAGTGTTTAGAAATGCATAGAAACGAGACTAAAATAAACAATATATATATATATATATATATTAAATAAAATCAAAATTAAACTATATAATTAAACATTGATATAAGACAAACAATATAAAAGCAGATTTAAATCAAATTTGTATAAAATTGCAATAATCATCATGCTTTGGAAACAACAATAAAATAAATTAAATTTAGTTCAAAAAATAAAGTGTTTTAAAAACTTAATATAATATAATATATATATATATGGATAGATATTACGGTAATACAGTACCTAATATTGTAATTATTATATACTGGAAAAATTTGAATTAAAATTATATAATAATAATAATAATATACTGTATAAATACTTTATAAGCTCTTAATGTGTTTTAAAAATGTTTCACAACTGGTCCGAAATAAAATGGATTTTGAAATGTGATAAAAGTGTTGATAAAAGTTATAATATATGAAAATTGCATTTTTGTGTTATTTGAATAATAATAATAAATTGTTTATAAATACTAATGAATGGAATGCTTAAAATACCGGTCATTGAAATTTCAGTCATTTAAATATCTGAATCATTTACTTAAGAAGTTTGTCAGTCAGTCAATCAGTCAATCTTTACAACTCAGTGGTCATTACTGTCCTCCTGGTCTGCATTGAGTTCATTGAAGTACTCCTTCTAGTGTTGGATCCATGATCTTTGACTTTTGTCTCTTTATTCTTAACCTCTTTGTCTTTGCCTTTGGCAGTGACCGTCGACAACGAACGGGTGACCGGATTAGATGATGCAAATGATGTCTCAACCAAAGTGGAGTCGACATCACTGTCCACACCTGGCTCTTCCTCTTTGGGTACCTCTTCTTTAGACACTTCCTCTTTAGGTTGCGTTTTCAAAGCTGATTTCAATGCGTTAGTAGTTGTCTTTGTTGTCACTTTCGATGATGTCTTTGATGTCTTCAATATTTGTTTTTCATTTATTTTCTGATTTTCTTTATCCTCTATTTTACTATTTTTGGTTGAATCACAGTTAGAGTTCCCATTAGTAACTATACCATTGTTTACAGGTATAACAGTTATATTATTGATATCATCAACGCTTAGAAGTGGGACATTATCATCGTCTTCGTCTTCATCATCGTTATGTTGTTGTGGTTGGTGTCGGTGTTCATCAGGTTTTTCTTTAATTATTTTGTGTTCGTTTTTAATGTGGCTGTGGTTATGACCATTAGTGATGGTCACAATTGGCGATGAAGACGCAGTGTTAGTGTCTTCCTCATGAGCTGCTGTATTACAAGTACCACATTTGGCTTTTTGTTTGAGAGGTTGGTTCTGTAGATTAGCTTCTTTAGCCTTTAAAATATTGCATTTCATGTCAGGAATAGCTATCTTGGGTTTAGAAACAACATTTGTGTTTTGATTGTTTGGCACTATTATTGATGGACCGACAACTATGGTCTGGACGGCACCGGCACTCGATGAAGCACTTTTGCAATTTATTTGCGGTGTCTTACCATTCATTTGTGATTTGTTTGAATGAGAAGAACAATTAGAAACTGAGTCTAGATTTTTAAGTTTAGAAATGGCGTCTTCCATGTCATCGGAAATTGAGTTTGTCTTTGATGTCGACGAAGCCTTTGTATCGGTATTGGTCTGTCCGGGAAGTAACTCATTGGCAGTTGGAGTGGTTTCACCCTTAGTTAACGACTTAATTAAATTATCAAGACGTTCTTCAGCTGTGGGCGGTACCACTGGAGGCACTGGTTTAAGACGAGGACGTGCTATATGTGTAGTTGTGGTCGTTGTTGTATTAGTAGTGGAAGTATTAGAAGTAGCAGTAGTAGTAGTAGTTGTTGTTGTTGTTGTGGTATTTGTCAAACTCGATGTAACAGTAGTTTTAGCTTTTGTCGAATCGTTTGTAGTCTTATTAAACCTGTCTGGTTGTCGAACAGTTGATCGACGACTGGTATACCTCTGAGACGGGCGTCTCTCGAATTTTCGTTGTTGTGCTAACTGTGCGACTCTTTGCTGTTGTATTTGAGTCTGGAATTCAGTTCGTCCCGAATACCGAAATCTTGATCCCATTCGGACAAAGTTTTGCCGTTGTTTAGCACTTCCCGTTTGGGCCGTAGTTTTAAGCCGAAAGAAGGTGTGGTGCTCTATAGCACACTTCCACAAGTGTTTACTTATTTTTGCCGTATGCTTCATATAATAGGAGGAGTAAATCAAATAAGAAAAAAAATATTTAACATTTTTGTTAGTTTTGTTTACATTGTTTTGTCGACACAATTTGATAGTAATCGCAATCATTTATTATAATACTGTATAATATCAAATATTTTAATATCATATCATAAATATACAGTACATTCGCGCAATGTATGCCTAATTAACAAATATAAATATTATACTGTATTACTAACCAGTCTAAAGACAAATGTGTGTTCCTGTTCCCGGCCCTCATCGTCGTCCTCGACCACAACTAATGTCAATTTCTTGCCCTTAAAGTCGAGTCGAGTTATTTTTGGCCAAAAGAAAAGTCCGATTTTTGTTTTGCCTTCAAATACTAAAATTCCGGTCGGAGTTAATCCCAAACTGTATTCATTGCCATCTTTTCCTATTGTTTTGCGGTTACAATAAAAACAATAAACAAGTTATAGATTGATATACAATAACACAATATATCTAATAATAATAATAATGTTTTGAATTGAATTTTTTTTTGTTATAATTAAAACATAACATAACATATACTGTACTTGAAATCAATCATATGTTAAACAATAGTTATATAAAACAATAGTGAAAATAATGTCAGATTCGGTGTTAAGAGTAGTAATACTGAGACCATACATACCGAGCACTATATGCATATCTACGCCATACATCTCAAGCCATTTGGCTTTATTTAGGTAATTAGCTTCGGCAGTGGCCGAGTCCATAGGCATTGTCGTCTCGGGTTTGTCCTTATTATTGGCTGAATTCATGTCTGGACTCGGACTCGGTTTCAATGCTTTCCACTCTTTGAGTATCTGATCTTCGAGTTCTTCAGTCTGAGTCGGAACAAATCTGAACTCAGAGATGAGAGTCAAGTTGTGTTCGGACTCATCGTAATCACCTAATTCTGACTGAAGACATAGTGCGGCCAAAGCAGATCCCACCTCAACAGTGCACGGGAGACGACCCGTTTGGATGTCTTGCTTTAACTGTCATCAAAATAATACAAAATAAGCACAACTTTTGTACAAAACAAGTGATAAATGCAAGAAATACCTGAAGAAAAAACAAATATCTTGTGTACTCGTCTTTAAGATTGTTTGGATCCGATGAATAAAATTTGACTCTAAGACGGAAAGTAAATGGCGGACCAATTTTGACTTGTTTTCGGATCTCTTTGGTGTAGTCCAACCAATGCGACTGCGATGTCATATCAGTGTATTGGAGACCAAAGTAGTCATTCTCGACAGTCAGTGATATCTTATCGCATAACTCGTCAAACAATTCCCCGCCCAATGACTTCTTCGGCATAAACAATGAGACATCGGTTCCGTCCAAAAGTAATACTTTGCAATGAATATAATGCTTGAGATTAGTCGGCACCTGTTGCTGACCAGTAGCTGACTGCTGACCAGATTGTGCTCCCGATGACCAGCGATTGGCATCGTTTCGGCGATTGATATCATGTCTGTTAACACGAAATCGTTTGGAAAAGAAACGAAGCATTACTTCTTCAGTTTATTTACTAAATCACTTCAAACACTATCAACTAATGGATCCAATTAACTGTCGATTGGATCAACTAATCAATACATTTAGTGTACAACAAGTGTCTTAATAGTCGGATATATAACACACAAAACACACGCAACAAGTGTTTGCTTTTTAGTGACTAAAAGTAAAGTTAAGTTAAAATAACTATTAGTTTTGAGACATGTTTTGTGGGTTTTTGATGACAAACTAATAGCTGTTTCACTGATTTTGTTGTTTCATTAAATAACATAAAAAAAAGTTTGGTTTCAGTCAAGCGTTTTGTTGATAGTTATGACAACTATTTATAAATCAAATACAATATTACAGTATTACTGCTATTGTATTGATTGACGCAAATATTATAATCAAAATATTATACTAATTGTTATACAAAACACATTCAATAGTCAAATGTGTTATACATTTAGCACATTATTACTGCTAAATGATTGGCCAATAGGTTTGGACATTGATTTCAAGTCATCTATTAATATATGAATTATTGAATTAATATTGTTATTCAATGACAACAATAACCGCAAAACACATCAATTGGTAGTCAATGATAGCAATGTTGTCAACACATGTCATGGCATTTGTTGGGTCCGAGTTTAAGACCAATGATGTTGTTAATGGTTGGTGTGGTTGACATCAAGTGTTGGGATGTATTGATTGTTTTGGTTATCACTGAATTGATGGCAGTCTTATTGAAGCCATATTGAAGTGTTTGTAATGCTATACCAATGCTATACCCAATGCAATGCACAGTCAGCTCTCTATGAGCTCTAGACAGCACTGGCAGGTAATACAGTGCCAAAAGGCTATAATCTCAGGTATGACTCTCTCTGTTGTTGAACACAATGCCAGGCAATGGACTTTTGTTGCACTGGTAGTCGTCGCACATATAGTTTATGCAATTTTTTATGATTATATGCAATGGTTTGATATAAGACTTTAGAAAAACTTGTCATACATTACAAGTCTGAGTGCTCTTAAGGTACACCACACCAGACAATAACACTGGACTATCTGTAGCTGAGGTAATGCCAGATACCAGTGCTGTTGTGGCACAACTAATACTGACTCTCAGCAAACAAGTGACTGCTTGTCAAACATTTTTCAAAACAACACTAAACTCCAGCCAAACCTGATTTGGAGCACAACTTCTTGACTCTCAAGAGATCACAACTTTTGCAGAAAAATGATTGAAAAAATTGTTTGCAATCAATGCTAATACAATACAAACAGATGGCTCTCAACCAAAAGGACAGGTATATAACAGGTACTGATAGGTACTGACAGACTGTGCTTTTTCGTTCATAGGATGCTAACCGTGCTTTAAGTGCCATCAAAACAAATAACTCTGTTATATATTAAACATATTGTCTAAGACTCGTGACAGTTCATCACTGGTTATTATTAACTTAAATCATACGGCAAAACAGTTTTCAATCATTTAAATTATATGTTTTCGTAAAAGCCGTCAATTGCTTTCACTTTTTATATATTTATATTTAATTAGTTTAGAAAAATAAATGTTTACTTTTATATACCAGTATTTAAATGCGGGTTTAAATCATTCATAATAAACATATTTTTATCATTAATTCTGCAAATATTTTCTGAACACTTGTTTCAATCATACAATAGTAATAAATTGAGTTTTATTTTGTGTTACAAAAACACAATATATTGCCTTATTTTATGACCTAAAAGCTTATCGAAAGATAATACAGGAGTATTAAATATCATAATTAATAACTGTTATCTGAAAACAAATATACTGTATATTTATATATAAAGAATATTTATGTACATATAGTATAAGATAAAAACTTCAACACAAAAACAGGGGTTTCCATCTTTATTATATAATGATTATACTATACTGTAGAGTATATTTATATATTTATGAATTAAAGGATAAATATATATTATTTTCTGGGTATTTCAAAAATTAAAAAACTATAGTTTATAGAAATAAATAACAAAAACATTATAATAATAATAAGTTTTGTTTATTTTTAATATTGAATTGTGTATGAAGTTTGATAAATGATTGTTTGAGTAAAATATTTTTATTATTACACAACTTTCGTCTTATCAATAGTTGGTTAGGAGAGAGAGAGATATTAAAATTAATACCACTACTCTATTGTCCTAAATATACTGTATATACTGTAGTTATTAAATAAAGTACAGTATGTCTGCAATAATTGTAATAATTATTATAAGTCACATATAAGCCAAGCTTTTGTTGATGTGTTTGATTGAAATTTTCATTTTATTTGCCGACAGTATTAATGTATTTTATGATAAGTTTTTTTCAAGAGTTTTTTAAATGCAATTTCACTTTCATATGTCACTCTTCGACGCGGAACAAGACTTTTAAATAAATAGCAAACATATTATAATTACATATAACCAGAGCATCTGTTTATTAGATGAGAGAGAGAGAGAGAGAGAGAGAGAGAGAGAGAGATTATTTGAATGCATGGTTGATATAGTGTTGAACAGAGCGTTACCTTTTCTCGCAATTTCTCACATCTAATGACTTCAAAACTACTCTATTATATGAATGGATAGCAGTTTCCTGGCCTTGGGTTGTGTCTCTCACCAGTCATATGAGAGACCAAATAATAGGAAAGTTATATAAAGAAAGAAATAAATGAGTCAAATGAATCACCTGAATATTGGATATATATATTCAATATGTGTGACCTTTTATTGCTAACTTTGCACCTGTAGTATGTCAATGATAGGGGACAGACAATCAGCAACTGGAGTCATACATACTATACTATTGCTATAATATAGTCAAAGTAGATAACAATTTGATATTAAACACTGCATTCCTCCGACTTTTGGCAAACTTTTTTTTTATATCTCAGGCTCTTTAAAAATGCATGAATCTGTTTAATGATATAGTAGTATATACTGTATATATATACTAAATTTAATACATATGCTCTCATATTAGGAGGTTCTCTCACTCGTGAACACCATTATAATTATGGTCAGTACACTGGCCTACAGCTTATATGCTCTTCTCTACAAATTTCATATAAAGACACTTATCATTATCTATTAGTTATACAGTATTATACAACACATAAAAAACATAATATTTGTATATAAAAAAACTTATACTTATGATATCAACACTTTTATATATATCATAATTGCTTTAAAATAATAATTATTTTTATTTATAAAACATTTCTACATATACTGTAGTTTTCTTTATTGTTCTGTACAGAAAAAATTAGTCACAAAATAATTTCATTGTTATAAAGTTTTAATTAAGGAGAAAAATGCTATTAAAATGAGAGTTTCATTCATAATATAACTTCTATTGTGTTTTCTTTGAGTCGCCTTTTTGTTTTGATTACATTATTATTATTATTATTATTATCCGGTTTTTATAAATAATAATATTGTTTCTTATGGCTAAAAGCGGAAATTTCTTGAATACAATAATTTTTCTTAAAATCTCGATTTGAATAATAATAATAATAACTAAATGTTTTATTTTCCTTGAAATTATTATATGGCAAATATTTGATTTTGCCTCTCAAACTATATATTAACATAAAAATTGATAAAATAAATTTTCTAATAAATATTTAATAAACAAAAAATCAAAATTACTGATATCCCATTTTTAAAAATTTAATGTTATTATGAGCTAATAAGTAATTTTAAATTAAATTTGTAAATATCAAATAGAAATCATTATTCAATTGTCTTTCTGGCAATTAGTTTTAGGCATTAAATTTTATAAATGATTGTTGCAATTGTTAACAATTTTATGTATTAACAAAAGTTTTAGCACATAAGCTATAGCCCGACAACATTATTATCCTTGTTTACAATACATATACAGTATTTTGCTAATCGCAAAGTTATTGATAATAATTAACATTTGTTTGTAATCAAATAAATACTTGAAATAATTTATCACTATTTTTATGTTAAGTTAATAAAATATTTATTGATTTATGTGTTTATTTAATGATATTATATAATAAATAATATTTTAATGAATTTACGATAATTTAAAATTATTTCAATATATATAACTTATTTATAAACTTTACTTATTTAATCAAATTTAGTATAAGTTATAATTACTAATTTTAGATGAAAGATAATTATTTTTAAGTAAAGCTTTATATAAAAATTATAATTTACTATTTAAAATAAAATGTGAAACATTAATTATATCTTAAAATTATTTTTATAATAATAATATAAAAATTTTATTAATCTTTAAGTAATACTTGATTGCAAGTTATATTATAGTTAAATATTTTTTATTGTTTCTATATAATTATTTATCTATGGTACATAACAAAAAAAATAATTAAACTTGATGATTTATAAGACAATATATATATATATATATATTATAAAGCAAATGTAATAAAAATAAATAAAATTTTTTAATCACTTACTTTTGTAACTTTGGTGAAGTTGCCTTGAACAAATTCATTTAAGTCACTCATAAAATTTAATAGCCATATAATAATAATAACATGACAACATAAAAATAGTAGTTATGATAAAAATTAATTGAACATATATTTATTTTAAATATTAATTATTTAATATTTTCATAGTTTATGTTTTATATACTGATCTCTATGTATATCCATATCAACATTTGGGAAAAATCTCACCAAAAGTTAAAAAAACTTTATATTATTATCAGAAACAACAAAATATATAGATTTTTAAGTTTCGTCGAAAAGAAATCCTAAAGATTTTTATGTCGTAAATCAATTTTACTTAGCATTGCATTTGTAAATATAAGACAAACAACTGAAACACAAAGTTTAGTCCAAAATTATGTGCTAACTATTGGCTGAGAGGATATAATCTGACAAAAAATAAAACAAAAATTTACTTTTCAGATACAAATATTCACATTAAACACAATACCAGATATAAAAAACGTTTGAAAAAAAATCTGAAGATCACTAAATACAATAAATAAAACAAATTAAATGACAAAATATGCGGTAAAATTGATTATTTTAAAAATAATGAAACAAAGTTAATGCTAAAAATCACTTCCCATAAATGACTTGCCATTACATACTCTAAAATTATATATCGATCTACACTTAGTATAATAATTTAGTAAATAGTAATATAACATTGTTTATATAAAAAAATTATTTTATCAACACAAATATTAATACGTGAGTATCGGCTAAATAATGATTTACACTAAATTTATCATCAATTATATTGAATGTATCATATTTTTTAAATTAAATCGATAAATATTACATTTATTTCAAGTAACATATATACAGTCTATATTTATTTATTAATTTGAATTTAAAACATTATTACTATTTAAGCAAATAG